CAGTAATCCTAAAAACAAACTAAATAAACCCAGAAAAGATGGAGACACATATTGTTTTCGGTTATTTTGACAATAGCAAGAAGGGAGGCCAAACTGCATCACATGACGGTTGTTAAGATGAGCCCAAATAAAATTTAAATACAATTACTTTCAGTTTAAAAGCATATAATGGGTATTAATACAATTAATTATGAAATGTGTTTCTGTTTATCACTGTGAAGCAGCTCTGTGAAAGGTTCCCCTCAAGGCACCTGTTCCCAAAATGTTTGAGAACCCCTGACATTAGTTATTAAATGTGTAGCCAGGTTAGGGTAACATTAGGTTTAGTTAGGCAAGTTTGGGATTTATCTTTAATGATCACTGTGTGTCTGGACTGAACAATCTGAACATTGTCATGGGTGGGTTGGTCAAGTCATGCATGGCGGTTTCTGCCAAGTTTCATCTGGGACAAAGTTGACTCATCACCTTCCTGCGGAATGTGTTGCTCCTCCTGATACAAATAAATGTATGTGCACTGTCTTCAGAGAGCGGCCAACACCCTGTGTTTTATCTAGATTTTAAAGCTGGGTGAATAGGAGACATTTCTGAAATTCATATTTCCTGCACTGTTGCAGACACTTCAAGTAATTTAATCAACATCCTAAATGGAAATGAGGTAAGTTATCATACATTTGGATATGCAATCTGAACACACGCTTGTTGAAGGGTATGAGCTCTTAGTCCTCAGTTTAGATGATTACATACTGCTTCGATAACATTAAGATTCAGGATCTATGGAGTCCAATCCATAACTGACTGCATTGGCAGTGTTTTTGGATTGTCATACTGAGAAATGGAGCTGTTGACAATCACGCACTTTCTAGCTGGTGGATCAACATTTGATCTTTGCCCAACACCACTGGCTGAAATACAAATCCCCAAACAAGGCAGAGCCTCCAAAGTGTTTTATAAATGGCTGTAGACACTCACTGTTGTACTTCACATCTGACCTCCTCCATTCATACTGTTGATGACTTGAGTCATCATTTTCCAAATTTGGGTTCATCACTCCATAAAATCTGTTGCCACTGATTGTCAGTCCAGTTCTTGGGTAATTTGGCATTCCTCAGTCTTTCTCCCTGTTCCCCTCATTAAGAATGGCTTCATGACAAGCATCCTTTTCAATGAGAACATTTCTGATGAGGCTTCAGTGAGCAGTAGATGGATAAACTGAAGGTCAAAATGCATCTCTCAGGTGATATGTCAGTTCTGGATTTTTCCCTTTTTCTTGAGGACATGACTTTCAGATAATATTCAACTGGTCTAGATTCTTTTCTTTCTTTCTTTTTTGTCCATCGGTTGTCCAGTTTCCTCAAATTCCTCAAATTGTAACACCATGCCAATATATATCAAGTTTTTTGGCGAATAGCTCTTTGGGAATAAGCTTGTTGGTGAAAAAAACACAATTTTTACCCCTGTCAAACTGTGTTATTGTTTTTTATAGGTTCAGCTAAAGAAATCTGTAGCAAATTATGTGTTTTTGTAACAGGCTGTGTAATAATAACAAGTGTAATAATAAAGTTTCTATAAATACAATTTAAAATTGGTTAATTACTAAACTGTCTGTTATCTGTAGATGGAACATTGGTTCATCCTTTGAGTTACGTGCCTTTTTTAGTCCCTGAATTAGTCGCAGGTCAGTGTTAAGTGGCTTAACAAACAAGAAAAAGCATTCCTGTGAAATGGGCCGGACTGAAAAAGAGTGAAAAAGAAAAACTTTGAAAGACCTTCAGAAAGTCTGGAAGCAAAATATAAAGAAATGAGGCGTGGCTCAAGACTTTTGCACAGCTGTTACAGCAGGGGCAAACAGGGGTAAATATTATTCGGGATCACTTGTACATGGTGCGTGTGTGTGTGAGAAAGAGAAAGAGTGAGCTTGGCTGACTGTTTAGACTCTGTGCAGATGTGTGTATGTGTGTGGGTCGTCTTCCTGAGTGTGTTTGTGTGTGTGCCTGAGTGTTTATTAACCTGTCTGTACAATGTGTATGTTAGTCAGATTTTTACCAAATGAGTAAAATGAGGCCACTTAAACGCTCCAGGAAATAAGCTGAGCCGTCAGACTTACTCTTTGCCTACATGTTATTTTAAGCCCAAATTACACATCATCTGATATCCATCCTAAATGGCTTTTCCAGCTTCACTGCTCCAGGTATTTTGAGCTAGAAGGACAGCAGTAAAAAAGGGGGCAGCAGGTTTAGCAGCAGTATAAAGAAAAGAGAAAGAAAAACAGGCCCAGCTCCACTAAGATGATGGAAATCTGCCAAATCCAATTCCCTGAGAAGGAGAGGGCAAGGCCCAAGAACTATGGAGATCCCACTTATCTCTTTTTCAAACATTTACACTCACAGCTTCAGTATTTCAGGAAGTTGATCTTCCCAGATGTTAAAGACTCATGTTGATAAAGGGCATCTAGTATTAATTTAAGCAAGAACGGGTTGAATAAATGTCCCTTGAGCGTCTCTTTAGTTTTATATAAAATGAGGAATACGTTATCTGTACTTTTTGTAGCTAGCAGCAACTATTTCTTTTAAGTAAGCTGATCTATATGAAAGGAAATCTGCAATAAGCCTGTGATCAACAATCATAATTTAATGTTACCAAGAGCGCAAGTTACACTGCAATAATCAAACAGGTCTGAGCAGACTTTGGTTGCATGCAAGTGAACAGTTTTTGCAACATGCAAATGCAATCTTGAAATCATCAACTTGTATCTAGCAACAATTTAATTATCAGAATCAGGATATCTTTATTGTCATTTTTAACAAGTGCAACAAAATAAGTGCAGTCCCTGCGGTGTCAAGAGAAAAAATATAAATATAAGAGAGGTAGAACACAGTCATTCAGTATAATAATTAGAACCTTACTGCACACAGACACTATTGCACAGGATGTCATCCACTGCACAGTATTTGGCAGGTTGAATTGTAGGTGATTACTTGTAATTCAATGCCCTAACAGCTACAGGGTAGAAACTGCTATTTAGTCTATTTGTCTTTGTTCTGATGTTCCTGTATCTTTTGCCTGATGGCAGCAGTTGGAACAGATTATGAGCGGGCTGTGAGGAGTCTTTTATGATATTTCCTGCTTTCCTTAGACAGCGAGAGCGGCGCAGTTCGTCCAGAGAGGGTAAAGAACAGCCGACAATCCCCTGGGCAATCAGGAGCAATCATTAGCTTTATTAATTTATCTGCACTCTAAATAATAAAAGCAAACATAACAGTAAGTCATTAGGACATCTGGTTGCTACACCAGAAACCTTTGCCCCCAGAGGCTGTCGACAGGCTAACTCCCAGATTATACATAAGCCAGCTATTGTCTTTCTACTAGATGAAAAGGTTTGAATATTTCTGGTCTTTAGTTTACAAGAACTGAAAATGTATCTGCCTTTTTTGACTAGAATGAAAAAGATAAGATACTGGCTTACCAGACTCATTACTACAGGAGATAATGAACTACCTATTATAATTGTATTAATTATTAAATATTATTGCTGCTGAACAATTTTACTGCAAAGAATACAGTGAGTTGCAGTTTATTTAAGTGTAAACATAACATCAATATGAAAATGACATGTGCGTTTTGTTAATTCAGTGAGTATTTAATTAGTCCTAAAACAGCTTCTTTTTGTTTATTAACACACTGCTTAATCAAGAAAGGATAATTTGTCTTAAATGGCCCTTGACACACATGCCACAGGTTTTAGATATGAAAGGCGTACTGTGTCACCTCTCGTTGCTTGAGCCTACTCCTGAAGGCCAGACTCTAATGGAACACTAATGGCTTTCAACATGGTTACATTTCTCACCTCGTCACTGCTTCTGCCCTCAGAACAGCCTCACTGAAAAGGTCCCTCTGAGGTTGAAAGCCTCTCATAAAACACAGCCAACGTCTCGAAGTTAAGTGAGCTCTGAGGCTGTCGTCAAGGCTCTTAATGAATCCTCGTGCCTGTTCGGGACCAGAGCCGGCCGAGTGTTGGTGTTTACCGCAGGGAAGACGTCATCGCTGCTGAAGAAAGATCGTAATTATAAACATGCCACTGCTGTTTCCAGTCGTAGCAATTTAAGAACAGACCCCTGTCGCCCTAGGGTCTTAATGACGCCAGGAGAACAAGTGGCAATTTAGAAGGGTTCATGGTAACACCCTCAATGCAGGGCTGGCAGCCTCCAAATTTAAACTACAGTATGGAGGGATTATGAAGGGAGACACGGGCAAGTGGTCAGACTCTGGCAGCTGATTTTACCTCCTGTGAAAGGGAAACACATGACTGTCTTCTGTTGCATTCACTTCTGTATGTGTTTAAAGTGCTGAAATAATTGTTCATGGGTTTTTAATCGCTAAGTGATGTTGCAGTTAAGGTACAATAGCGTCAGTTTAAACAGCAACACTCGTCGATTACAACCCAGGAAGTTATTTTAATAGCTCTGTTCAAGCTGATTCATGAGGTGTATGAACACAGCAATATGTCTACAACCGTAGTGCCAAGATATGCAATCAGTCAGAGTGTCAGACAAGCAATTATTCTGAATTAAATGCAAGACATGACACAAACATGTTGCCCATAATCTCTAAGAGTGTGGGAAACTGTACTTGTAAAGCCTCTGATTTATTTGTTTACTTGTACCTGTTACATTGACCTGGGTATTTGTTCAAAGCAGTCTCATTAGCAGTCTGACTGCTCAGGTTTACTGTCATGTTTGGTGTCTTTTTGCTGCCAAATGTGAGCAATTAACTGGGTGAGGATGTTGCCAATTTTTGGAAACGATAATTCAAATTATTATTGGATGACCCACAGCAAAACTCCACTCCCTTTTAAGTTGGATTTCACTTGTGTTCCCTGAGGTTGTGACCTGTTCAATCAATGCAAATTATCAGCTCATTCTGTTGTAGTGAAACCAGGTGTGCATTATTGGCTTCAGGCAGTAACTGAATGGGCACAGTTTAGCTGTGTGAGTGAAAGTAAAATTGCTTTGCAGCAGATCGCACATTATTGAAGTTTGTGTGTGTGTGTGTCTGTATCCCCTAAGCTAAATTCAGGTGTCAGCAGTTAAAAGGTATTGAGTTAAAGCAATATTACTGCTTTCTTTGTTGTTGTGTGTCTTTGAATTCATACACCTGTACAACCCTGTGCGTATCTGGTCATGTGGTAGCTTGTAGTTTAAAGAGACAATGCCAGCCACTGCTCCATAGTCATTGTATGTACATGTTTTTGTTTATGGGCCTATATTTTTTTTATTATTATTATTTGAAGCACCTGGTGATATCAAGCCTTGCAGTTAGCTTTGGTTTGGGATTTTTTGAGGAATTTGTTTTTTCAGCACTCAAGGCATTTGGAAAAATGGAATTTGGAATTTGGAAGACTTATCTGTAACTTCACCTTCCATCTTTATGATATATTAATTGCTCTATTTTCAAATTCCAAGCTTCTGGGGAGTTTTTTGGTTGTAAAATCCTAAAACTCAGCTACCAAAATAGTGACAAAGAAAGCTAGGCTGGAGCCAAGACTTTTGGGAATCACCCTATCCATGGAGAAACACTGGAGCCACACAGGAAAGTCAGCAGATAATTTTCCAGCAACCCCTCAGGGTGAGTTTTTAGGCTGCATTAGGAAAAGTTTAAATAAGTTAAAAAGTCATCTTATAATAAAAAAAACAATATTTCAGCATATTTTACACCTTTTGGCTCCCATATCAGTGTGTGTGTGGTGTGTGTGGTTTCAGGAGGTTGGTTAACACAGACATGGCTGTCATGGTCCTGCCCAGCAGTAGACTGATTGGATGGGAGGTATTCGTGTCAATGTTTGCTCTGGTTAATGAGCGGAAGGAAGGTGAGTCCATACAATACACACTCATACACACTCTATCAGTAGTGCAACACTGTCAGGATTTGTGTGTGCGCGAGTGCGTGTTTGTGTTAAGGGTGACTGCCCTAAGCCTCCCAACCCACCCCGGGCTGATTAGTAGTTTGTCTTTAAGTAAACATGGAAGAGAACCGCAGAGGAATCTAACCTGTGGAAGGAAGGAAGGGAGGAATCCTCTATCCATCACTGACCAGGAGATGCAGAATGGGCGCACACTGCAAGATATTCCGATTTCCCCTGGGAAGTGACCGCCTTCCACTCAATAATGATCGCTCAGCCGTTAAAGGAAAAACACATTGTCAAAAAGAAACCTGCTTAAACAAAGTAAGGCTGATTTTTCTGACAGAAAATCGCGTTTATCTGAAATATCAGCAGATTCAAATTTGTCAAAAGTATTTGGCAAGGATGAGCATTTAAGTGAGTATTTATTGCTGAGTGGTGAATTTCCAGGCTGTTGAGTAATTAGCTCAGAGCAATTGACACTTCCAAAATCAGATATCATAGTTATTTATACTCTGATTATTTATCCAGCCAGTGAGAACTTGGTGACAGCAGCATTCCCTCTGAGATCAAGGGTGGCGTCTGAAAGACTGCATCCAAACTTAAAGAAAGTAAACATCTTCAGAAGTCAGGAGGGCCTTCACGTCTTATCTTGAAGACATACATCACATCTAATTAAACTCAGGCCTCTTCTCCCATGCGCACATGAAGTTTTAAATCAACCAAATTACCCTGGGGACCAAGGCGACACTCATTTAAATATTCATTTAATTGCCAGCTTCAGAAAGAAATTATACGCGGAGTTGCAGGTTTCAATGAAATTGGGTCAGGTCGGTTATTGGTGCCTACAGAATGAAGTGGATGATGGTGGCAAAGACAAACATTGCTAACAAAGCATACACGTACATACTTGTAACCTGGAATTTAAGGGCATTAACGCATGCACAGTGGCTCAGACATGTTGCTCTCAGGGGGAATCTAATGTAAATGTTGTAGACATTGGGAAATATGACAGCAATTTCACATGCGCCAACTCTGCCCAAGTGCCATGAGTGGGTGGAGTGTGCTGCCCTTAAAATCTCTTGGCTAACTATTATCTACTGAATATCCAGAGAGGTGGTTAAGAATTGCACAAGGGCTTGTATTTATTAATTTGTTCATAATGCGGAGAACCCGGTAATAAAGCAATAGCAAAAGGAAATTTCCCCTCATTTGTTTTTCTATTGAGTATTCCTGCTATTTATTCTGTTTGGCAGTAAAATTCCCTTTTATTCCATCACCGTAATCTGAGTCTGAATCAACTTTATTGACCAAGTAAAAGGATTTGGGCTTTTTCTTCTCTTTCAGTGTAAGTAACAGGATAGACAACACACAATACTAACAATCAAAACATGTGTAACATGTGTGAGATGTTTATATTCATGGCACATGGTAGAGAGTTCGAAGATGTTGGAATAAATAAGATATGGATAACTAATTAATATATATATATATATATATATATATATATATATATATATATATATATATATATATATATATATATATTACTGTTTATAATATGTATAGAACATTATCCAGATAGCGATGCTTGTTTGGCACAAATTTAGCCCAAAGCAGAGGTTCTCTTGCGTGCCAGATTTGACCATGACTCATTGCACTGACTCTGAGGTAAGACTGGTTGCTTGACCAGGTTCAGTTTATATAGGCCAGATGTGAGGTGTGTACTGACATCTGGGTCACATCTCTCCCACAAAAAGCTTCCCCTAGTCTATGTCAAGTGCAGCTAATGACATTTGGGCCAAATCTGACACAAATGTCAGGTGCTCTGAGCTGTATGTGTGCAAAGACTCCCAGATTATGCACAAATGTGTCTTCTGAGTAATTATTCTTGTTCCTCACCCCAATCAGACTTCATAAACTTCCCTTTAATATAATTGCAGTTGTGACATTCTGTCTTTCAAGGCTAAAACAAAATGCCACTTTATCATCATTGCAGTGATGATCATCTACGCTCTGTGAGAGCTTATGAACATGAGTTGATTTGTGAGGAAGCATCACATTAACTGAGACTTTATTATCTTGTCTGTTGTTAACCCTAATTCCCTTTTTGCTTATCGATCTAACCACATTTTTCAGAGAAACTACTCAAGACTGACAGGGTTGTGGCTCCACGGTGCGAATCAACTTAATTTTACCACATTAAATTATAGAAAGGAGAGTAGTGTTTGAGAGTATCACAAGCCCAAACTTCCCATGAGGAGGTTACAAAGACACAGACATTTCAGAGTTTCACAGCACGCCTCAGTAACTCTGTGAGAAGCCGCCCTCCTTTGCTACCCACCCACCTTTTTCTTTGGCGTCATGAACTTTGAGAGCCCTGGGAGAATCGGGGGGGAAACCTACCGAGAGTCAAGAAGGGAGGTTAGATAGAGGAGTGGCAGAGTGGGCAGCCCAGAGAATGCAGAAGTTGACTTCTAAACAGATGCAGTAATTCCATTTCCACCCTTTTAAATTTGGTATGCAGGGGGCCAGGGCGTAACCCTAAACCCACTATCGCTGTTGCACACAGAAGGGGGAGGCGCAGTCGACAGTTGGTGGCTGGGGCCACCGAGTCTATCGGCCTTGTTAATCAATACAGGTTCCACTCTGATAGACAGCGATTGGTGTAACCGATGCCCACCCTGCTATTTTGTTCCCTCTGGCGGGCACCTGTTTCTTAAGACTTTCACCTGCAGTTCACAGCTCAGCTGGAGACGGCTGGCCCAGCGTGAGGCATCTGGATCAGCCCCAAAAAGTTCCTGCACATACATAAGAATGTCTGAGGAGTCTCATTTCTTCATGAGAAAATTGCCCCCCCCCCCCCCCCCCCCCCCCCGGTTCAGACAAAGTGAATGTTGTTTTTGAAAGTAAAACCAGCTGCAAAAAGTATCATTTTTATATGGAAGTGAACCAAAATGAGACACTATTATGTGAAATTAATAGTAAAACAAATTCATTCAGGTTGTTTTTCTTGCTGTGTAAACAAATGTACTGTTTATGACCCTAACATTGGTGGCTTTAAAGTAATAATCAATAAAATAATCAAAAGAATGAACAAAAACTGCATTACTTTTGCATTATACACACACACACACAATATCCTTCTATTGGACAGTTATGTATCGGAGTTTCAGGAGCGGGACCACGCCTCCAAACACGCTCCTTCCGGTTCTCATCTATATAGGTTCCCCCAGTTCTGCAAGCTGATCGTTCTCGTTTACGTGCCTCACCCTCCTTCCCCCTTTCAATTCTTTAACTTCTTGACTTCTATTTAGTACACGGGGATCTGCCAGGCCCGGGAGCCATCGCCAGTCCCCCTCGAGGCCTTCCCCAAACCGCAGCTCAATTCATGTCCAAGCATTCACCTTTACCTACTAAAACGCTGTCAAACCTAAAATGAGGACGTGGGCCCAGCTAGTGAATTAGCTTTTATTTGTTAACATACAGCATTCATCTAAGTTAGTGAAAAAAGAAAAATGAAAATGCTTCAAAGAAAAGCAATCAGGCCATTTCTGCCCACACCTGTTGGAGCAAGGACAGGTAAACATCCCACAAACTGGCGGTTGTGACTGTAGGCCTGAACGCTCCTCATTCTCTAACCTCTGAAAAAATCACAGCTCAGCATACACTTTGGTTTAAGATTATTCTCTTTGTCATTAGCTCTGATATGTTATTTATGCAGACGTGTGGAAAGAGTTGATGTGTTGCTATCAGCAGTTGATAGTTGCTTCTGGCCACATCGCAGTATGCACTTTGTCATTGTTTTCATATTTATGCATGCAATTGAACTGGAAGTAATATTCTTCTTGCTACTCCTCGGCAGTCTCAGACCATTCTGCTATTTTTCAACTCCTTCCACACAAAGTGAAGTTAGCTGATTACAGTGAGCAGGAAAAGGACTATTTGTTTTTGTTTCATTTTTTCTGTCTGTCCATATTGCAGGTAAATGAAGTGCATGTAACTCAAGTCATGACTTGGGTTTTGAAAAGTTTTCTTAATGTGCAAATGTGCTGACACATTTGTAACTGGAAACACTTTAGTATGCTGAAATATACTTTAAATTATTATCTGAAGAGAGTTGAAGGTTAACTGGGAATTCAGGATGGATCCAGGGGAATTTGGCAAGAATATATTTTTATTTTGAAAAACCGCAATTATACCACTGACAGAATCCGATTAGTTCTGTGCATTCTTCCTTTAGAATAGAAGAACCTCTGTTTTTACGTGTTAGATAATCTGAGGGCTAGTTTTAAGTTCTTCTGTATGTTGCGAGGTTAACCTATACGTTTGGGATTAGATTGACTTAAAAGAAAAAAAATGTATCTTATAAATAAAGCTGTGATAGAACAACAGCTATCCATATTTAGAAAGACATGTTTGTCTGATAATGGTAAATAAAAGCAGTTTTGCTCTTTTATTGATTTGATTAGAGGTTTTCTTATTGAGAGTTTAGCCAGAAACCACACAACCCCACACATTGGAGAATCCAAACCCAGCTGAAACAAGCAGCCTTTTGCAAATACTGGAGTTTGGGGCTAATTAGTTCTGATAAAACCTGTGGATTGGAAACACACTGCCTGTCTGCCAAACTGTCTCAGCTCCATTTGAAGCTGCTGAATCCAATAAGAAGTGTGAATGACTTTAATTAGTGCTATCACAATGCTGTATTTGCCCATGTTAGCTTATTCTCTTAGAGCTGAGCTCTGAAACTGTTTGCAAACACACACACACACACTATCCTGTCTATTAGGCCTGTGGTGTGTTGCAGTAATCGCTGGCCCAGCATGATCTTACTGAAACATTGGC